AGAGAGAGAGAGAGAGAGAGAGAGAGAGAGAGAGAGAGAGGTAGGTACCTTAGAAAGGGTTTGCAGTAGATTTCTGAGGTGATGAGATATTGAAGCAGGGAGACAGCAGCTGAAGCAAGAAGCAGCAAATTGGTATGAGGAGATGGCGGCTAGCTTCCCCCACTGATTCTGAAACTCATTATCTCTCGCTCCTCTCTCTCTCTCCTAACAATTTGAGAGTGAAAGAGATGATTCTCCCACTCACTTAATGGTACGAGATAGACAGAGACAGAGAGAGACAGAGAGGATAGAGTCCATGTCAATCTGTCAAATTCTTCAAACCATCAATATTTGTTTATTCAACAACTAGCCTCACAGCTTTTTCCTTTTTTTTTTTCTTAAACAAAAAATATATATTATTATTATTATTAAAGGAATTGAACTAGACCACTAGACCACTAGACCTAGACCACTAGTGGGCTAATTGAGCCACTCAACTGGGTCTTTACTTTTTTCAGATCAATTGTATAAAGTTAATAATCAATCTCCACTTTATTACAATTTGCAATTTTGTGAAGAAACTCAATTCGAATGCGAAAGAGTTTAGAGTTTAGAGAAATCATAACCAAGTATTGCTTCGATAAAAGTGTTTACTAAATATTTTTTTTAACACTCTCCTTTGTTCGGAGTTTGGTGGTGGAATTAAAATCACCAAAACATTGTCAAGTAACCTCAAAGACTTGGAAATTCACATTTTTCTTGTGATGAGGTTTTTTTTCTCTATGATGTTGATTCAATAATTCCGTGTTGGTGTGCACCTGAGTTAGGCCTATAAATTAATGTAGTGTGCTTATCTCTTTAAACTCGATTCCTCTTATACATTAGAATAATTTAGAATATTATTTGTTTAAACCATCATAGTCCCTAATGTAATGATTGATTTTCAAGTTTATAAAAAATAAAATAAAATAAGATAAAATAAAATAAAATAAGAGATGGATTCAATTGCCATATAAACCATAGGAATAGGATTGCTTTTGCTATATGGAAACTACAAGGATTAAAACGAAA